TTCTCTGGGTTTCCGACGTTGTCTTTAGGGGTGGACACCGAATCAGATGGGTCTTCTACATTTCCGCCTGTAGATTACATAGGGTGCATGTTGGTTGGATGAATACTCCCAATCAGTGAAGGTGTGTAGTCTAAACTCAGCAACGGCTTCGATTCTCGGCCAGTCGGTTATTTCGGGGAGTGCCACTGTCCACTGTTTCTCCTTTGTTCGAGCTTTAAGTTTGTTNCATGTGTGTGGGGGGTGGGGTACATATATAGCAGTTAATTAATAGCAGTTCATTAGCTGACTTCTTTGTAGCAGTTAATTAATAGCAATTCATTAGCTGTCTTCTTGCGGCAGTTAATTAATAGCAGTTCATTAGCAGTCTTCTTGCTTAACAGTATCTCTGGCTTTCCGTCCTTGTCTTTAGAGCTGGATTACATTTATAGCGGTTAATTAATAGCAGTTCATTAGCAGTCTTCTTGCTTCCCACTTTCTCTGGGTTTCCGACGTTGTCTTTAGGGGTGGACACCGAATCAGATGGGTCTTCTACATTTCCGCCTGTAGATTACATAGGGTGCATGTTGGTTGGATGAATACTCCCAATCAGTGAAGGTGTGTAGTCTAAACTCAGCAACGGCTTCGATTCTCGGCCAGTCGGTTATTTCGGGGAGTGCCACTGTCCACTGTTTCTCCTTTGTTCGAGCTTTAAGTTTGTTGTACCTTGAGGTCTTGAATTCTCTTCTGATTAAGGCTTTCATTGTGTGGAAAGACATCGGCCGGTCTATGTCTTGCAAAATCGGCGTCCCCTTCTTTGCAAGTGCGTCAGCAAGCTCATTGTCTTTAATGCCGCAGTGATCAGGAATCCATTGTAGGACTACTATTTTGCCTTTCTCTCACAGCAGCTGATAGAGCTATTTATATTCGTATATCTCATCTGTTTTTGGTGACTCTCTGCTTCCAAATTAGTTGATTGCTGACTGTGAGTCCGAAAGTATCACCGTTTTGGTGAATTTTACATAACGCGAAGGGAATGCCGACTACGTCTCAACATACCACTTCATTCTAATGGTACAAAACAAAGGCTAAAATATATGCAGTCGAACCAATATCATAGCATGTTTACTTTAAATTGTCGAAATATTCTAGATCGAAGATGCTTGACAACCAATATTTTCTCCATGGCAAAGAGAAGCTGATACGAAAAAAGCAAAAATTTTCACAAAATAAACATAAAGCTTAACAGAGAGATATGAAAACTGCCAACCCCACTTAACCTTAGACATTTTATATTGGAGATTTATTAGGACTAGAATTCGGTTGTAACCTAGGTAGTTAAATATGGTGAAAACTCTCTCAGTGCGCAGGTGTTTTGTAGCACCATAGTGTGATTAATGACGCACACAAAACACATCAATTCAAATCCATTCTGGAAGCGTTCGAATTCTTACAGCCACTAAAAAGTGTCGAATACAGCACAGGGCGAAACGTATTTTTATGGGTTAGACATATTTCCCAATTGTTGTATAATACCTCATTAGGCCTACTCGAGTGACTTTACCTGCTCCGTTACGACGTAGCTAATCGTTTCGAAGCAGGAAAGCCAACAAGTCACCAAGAAGATTTCAATTGGTTAAAGAAACGCACACAAGCAATGCACAATTTAATGAATATTCATAATGTGTCTTTGTAAATAAAGGGAGTTGGATTCACAGTTAAGTTATTGGAAAATATGTGGAGTTGATAGAAGGCAGATTTTTGGAAATCTGTCATGCTCTCAATTGAATTACTTAATTCTCTTGAGCTAAATTTTCTCTTCGGTTAACACATATTTAAATAGAAAGTGCACCCTGGACAACGTTTCTGCATGCGACAATAAAGTCTATCACACAGCATTTTGACTTCTATTTATTATGATTTGCTTGAAACAAAGCTATAAGAGAAATCGCCCTCGTCAGGGTGAATCACAATGTCCACAGATCCTTTAGTGAAATGCTGGAGAGACGTCATAGGAAAAAAATACTCGAGTCCAGAAAATACTACAAACCCATGATGTTGAAATTTTCACAATTGTGGAAGCAAACATTTCGGGTGACAAACTGAAATACTACCAATTTCCAGTTTACACCTTGTACAATCTACCTAAATACCGGCAAGTTGCAAGTGAAATTCTGAATGGAGTAAAAGAAGGCCTCGCATCACATTATGATTTAATCAAGAATATCGGCTCGATGCAAGACATATGCGAAAAAATCAGATTAGGTGTTCGGAAAAGTCAAAACCAC